CTTAGTGACCCCTTCAAAGCACTTCACATCCTTTCTGCAAGGCTCAGCTCATAGGCTCCCTACAAAATGTTATTTAGTTTCCCAAATTCCCTACTGTTCTTAGACTTCAGGGCACTGGATTGGCAAAGAATTCCCTTGTCACAAAGATCTTACTGTCAAACAGATGTAAAGTTGTTTTAAGGAAGGTAGTTTGGTGGTAGATGTATTTTTTCATATAGACTAGGAAGTGGCATGCATGGCTCTACTGTGGTGTAAAAAATTCAGGGATTCAGGTGCCACATCTTTGCCCTAAGATGCCCACCCTAATCTCTCCATAACGTCCACCATTTCAGCATAGGAAATTTGCAAGATCTTAGCTTTTCTTTACGCTCATCTCCTAGGCTACACTTCAGATAGATACAGAGCTCTTGAAAATGAGTAATTGTAACAGATTGCACTCGGCAAATGGCAGTACAAGCATTGTTAATCTCCCTTGAAATTTAGGCAATGTCCGCAACACATAATTATTCTTCATGTGTCCTTTGTCCTTTAAAATGGCATATTTTTCTTCTGACATTCATCTCCTATGTTATCGATCCTCTTGACATCTGTCTCAGTAGCTTCCTAGAAGTTTCCCTTCTGGCAGGAGCAAGGATGGGACAGCCTGTTTTTTGACATCACTATCCAAAAGGGTTTTTGTGAACATGCTGCAGCATTTGCAATGATACTGAATTTGTGGCATTTCACCCTTAGTTGAGTTTTTGGCAGAAACCAGAAATGAAATAAGATTGTGAATTGGGACAGCTCTAAGAAAAGTATTGTGTGAATTTATATCCTAAAATGACATGAGGCTGGTGCAGGAGCTTTCTCAAGTTCTGTGATGTATATGTGGGTTTTATGGTCACTTGGAGGAATGTTTGCTCATCGCCTTTTCCTCAGTTCTCAGCTGTATTGGTGTGATTTTATATTTTAGATTTGTAGTAAAATTGTAGACTGGTCATGGACTACTTGTGACTCTGGGCAAATAATTTAAATCCTGTACTTCGTATCCAAAGCATAGGAAACAATGTATTTCTTTTTAAATTTGATTTTTTAAGTGGTCAGATAAAAAAAGCTAGATTAATATAGCATAATTAATATGTATTGTTAGCGATATTTCTTTAAAAACTCAAAGAACCCTTCACTCAGGAATAACTGACAATGTTTTTACTGCTAATATAAACCTCTCCATGTTTACAGAAAAATAGATGAAACTTCTTTCTCAAAAGGGCAGACTCAGATTTTGTGTGTCAGCTTAATATTCCATTTTTTAATCTTGATTGTTCAAGCAGTTTATGGGTTTTTTTTCACCAGGAAAAACAAAAGAATTGCTTGATTCTTATCAAGAGAATCAGTCCGTTTTCTTTCATTATGGTTCAGCTGATTTTTAATTTTTTTTCCTCAAATCCTTATTTAAAAAACTACAAATGGAGCAACAACAAAAGATGGATGTTTAATCTCTGATAAAAATTTAGGAGTTCCCAAAATCCTCTGATGGATCATTTTCTTCTATCCCATTATTCGCAGGGTACTCTGTTAGGATTTAGCCAGAAAGTTTTATATATAAAGACAGGATTACAATCCTGTGTTCTTTATATCTCCTTTACAAACCTTTCCGAATTTGAGAGGATTCAGGGACCCTCAGCCTACCCAGAGCTTTTTCCCAGCAGATATCTCTTTTTGTCCTAGGAGTTTGGAATGTGGGTACTGTTATTTATCTTGTGTGCCAGTGGCCCTTCATGCCTTTTTGTGTTAATGTTCTTGTTAATCTTGTCTGTCATGTTTACTCTTCTCTCTAAACAGGTATTATTTGAGCTTGCCCGGTATCATGCTCCTTCCACAATTTTCTTGGATGAGCTGGAGTCAGTTATGAGTCAAAGAGGCACTATTTCTGGGTAACTGATGAGACCACTTCCTATGGCTTTAGGAGAATATTTGTCCTCCTTTTACTGCACCTTTTCACTAGTGTGTGCGTTCAGGTGCTGACCGATGTTTAATCCTATGTTAGAAACAAATCTTCGCTAAACTAAAGCCTGAGGCTACACTATAAACTTCAACAGGAGCATGCCTGGGCCCCTAAAATTCTTGTCTTTCAGATTTTATTGACGGTATAATTGCTTTGAGTGATAACGGTAATTTTCACGAATTTTTATTAAGTATTTTTTCTTCTGTTCTGTTGTCAACTTCAGGAGCCACGCAGTGTATTATTGTCAGAATCAGCTCCGAAAGTACTGCTTCATGGAAGCGTTGCGTACACTGGGGGGATTTAACGAGTGAGATGTGGTGGTTGTTTCATTTGCAGTAGATGAGATCAGTAGAGAAGCAAGCATGAAAGACAGGTTGTGTGAAGATTAGCAAGGGAGTGTGGGTCCAGCAAGACTGTGAGAAGGAGGGAGGTGCAAGAATGTCTAACTTAGTGGTGCAGTACTTTAAAATAAGGGATTTGAAGTGGAAATAAAGGCTGGGGCGGGGGGGGAATAAGAGAAGATTTGTTAGAGGCGAGTAAGAAGTGTGACGCTTTGGACAGTCTTAGGGGTAGCAGGGTCAGATGGAGTGTACGTGGTGGAATGGCATTTTCATTAACGGGACAAATTTTTGTGGCATTGTCAGGACTTCCAGATGCAGGAATGGGAGGATGCTATTATTGTCATCCATGGTGTAGACAGTTTGTAGGCAAAAAACAGATTGTAGAGGTTAGGGATGGGGAAGAAGCAGGAGAAATATAAGAATACCGTGATAATCATTAGGAGCCCATTACAGTGGATTTTATGTACTGTAAATTATATGCTCACAAAGGTTTGTAAATAGAATATGGCATATCATAAAGATACAACTTGTAATAATTGTTAGTTAATAGCTATAGATTATGGGCCAAATTTTGCCTTTGTATATATTTTTAAAAGGTCTTGATCATATATTTTAATAAGGATTTTTATTCAAGATTATGTAGTTATTTTTACATATTCTTATTAAATATGAACTTGATACTGATGTGTGGATGCCTTTGCAGAAATAAGCCATTAAACCTGAATTGTAGCTCTTACCGTCTAAGGCCCTGATGTTTTCTCTGGGTTTGATCCAGGAGTTTCCAAGAATTCCACATCTGCGACCAAGAGTTCAAACTGGTTTCCTGCAAAATTGGTTACCTGCATCAGGGCCAGAATTCTTAGCTCTTTGCTTAAGTTCCGCTTCTCTTTTTGTGGAAGGAGCCTTTCTGTGTGGTCGCTGACCCATTTTTAAATTTGTTTCAGTACAGCATATTTTTCTGTTTGCTTTTGATAGAATATTTTGCAAAATACTGAATTCAGGAGTAGGTGTATCTTCTTGGGGCCTCTTAACATTCACTCACAGAAAAATGCCAGTAGTTGCCCTGAATAGGTAGGTGTGTTAGTTATTTAATGGCAACTATCACATTATAAAAATTCTGTCATATAAATCAATCAGCCAAAGCCTTAGCTGTTTTCCAGTAAACATCAGCACTGTGTGGACATTAATATGAAGAAAAAAATAAAAATAAATACTTTCTTTGGATTCAGCAGTATTGAATTCTCCACACTTTAATGCACTGAAGAGTCCGTTTAAGTCATCATTAGAAAGCTTGATTTTAATGCTTAGATGTTAGCTAATGGAGCTTAATCATGCTTTGAACTGGGGGAAAACTGTGACAAGGGCTCAGTTGCTGTGAATGACACTGTATAAATAAAGATGATTACTTTAATGCACTGGGCAAATAATATTTCTCTGAATCTTGGTAGTGGCGAACATGAAGGAAGTCGGCGGATGAAAACAGAATTACTGGTGCAGATGGATGGCTTGGCCCGATCTGATGATCTTGTATTTGTTTTAGCAGCTTCCAATCTGCAATGGTAAGAGATCCAGAGAGTACATGTTGAATACATTTGCATGAGCTTCTAAGCACGGATAAAGATTTTATTTACACTTTTGAAGAAAAAGCCTTGATATTTGGTTAAAGCATTTAAAGATTAATTTGGAGCTTTTACTTTTAAACTCTACAATTCTTGCTATTTGTGCCACATGAGAATAATCCATAATAAAGTCAACATATGCTGGTGCTACCAGCTGCTAATATTTAAAATGGAGTATTTGACTTTATAGGCAAGTTATTTACTATGTTTAAGCTAAGAAGGGTTTCAGCCTGGAACGGTAAGGTGCTTAAAACATCTAGTGCTTAGAAGGATACTCCATAAATAGGAATGTTGGATTTTATTGGTATCAAATTTGACTTTTAAAAGTTGAGGGACAAAATTGTTCAGTTTCTTTAACGTAATTTAGAACAGAAGAATAAAAGGTTTAAGAGGGGAACTAGGGCACTTCATCGTGTTGGTTCTCAAAACGGGCAGGGCATGTATTGAGAACGAGACAGACAGGAGAGGATGGGTGACAGAGGTGACATTTGTGGTGTAACAACTGGGGGTGGTGGGGGGAGTCCAACAGATAGCAGAAAATGGCCAGCTCATGTGCTCTCCTTGAATAGCGTCTCCCACAGCCACTGTCAGAGCCAGCACGTTGATCTGGCTTGATGACTCATCTGAACTAGTGGAGTATATCTTCTTCTTTCATACCAGACATTATCAAGTGGTTGCAAATGGTAAATGGGGAAAGCAACGGCTGTTGGTTAAGCACGGCTATTTTTAACAGTCTAATTTGTAGCTCACTAATAATTTTGCAGAGTAGAAGCCAACATCTGTACAGGGAATTGAAGCACATTGATGACGGGCTTGTTTTTGAAGTTAGTTTTCATAGGTCTGGAACTAGTCTGTGGATTTTTGCCTACCCCAAGATTCCCTCTGTCCCTGGGCTACCAACCCATGAAATCTTCAGTAGAACATCCTTTTCTGCTGAAAAAACTGTGCATTGAAAGCAGAGAGGGGAACCTCAGCAAAGTAAACTATGGAAATTATCTGTTCGGTGAGGGACAGTTTTGGAGGCAGATGTCTACAAAAAAGATGAGTTAGGCATGAGAAGGGTTTTTTTCTTCCTTTCTGTGAAGTATACAGGAAGCAGAGAAATATAAAGCGTCTGCTGGGGGAAGACTGCCTGGCTAATGTTTTTGCAGCGTGCTGATCATCACAACACTGAGGTCCTTCTTGGTATCCATTCCTCTAAAGGCACGCAGACCTAAGTGGGCCTATTCACCTTTTACATGTAGAGATGGTTGAGCTAGGAGTCTGAACAGGAGAAGACAGTGGTTCTGTTTCCAAGGAGCTTCAAACCATGGTTTGGGAAACATTTGCTGGAGCCTGGTGGCTGGTGTTCACAGGAATGGCCTTGTGCGAGAAGAGGCTCGGCAGCATTTCAAGCAGTGGTACTTGAAATTTGACTGAAAGGCGCGTTGTTCGTTGATGTGACACTCGCCCAGCTCCACAGTGAGACAGCTGCAGAGCAGGGCATCCAGAAATGGCTGGAAGCAAGTGAGGGCTCTGCACCCACAGAACCACAGACTTCATTCCTAGGTTGTTGTTTTTCACAACTAGTGATTTATGGCTGGTTCTCATGAGGTTGTGAAAGGAGATGTGTTGGAAAAGCTTGTCTCTGTGACCAGAGGACTTTGGGCTGTGATCAGCAGGCTGCTGCTGGCTGTAGGGAGTGTCCGAGTCTGAAGGACACGCTCTGTGTATCCACAGCTGCTTGCTTTTGAGTACGTGTGAAAAAGCATCAACTCCCAGTGCATATTTTATTTTGTATAATGTGCAAATGCACTTCTCGGTCATGATGCACCACCTAATGCTCTCTTGCAAAGTTTGTGGTAACACTTTTTTCTTCTCCTCAGCTGACCCCTTTTTTGCCAGGCCTGGCTGGAAGGCCAAGGGAACAGGCAAAGAGAATTAAACAACAGAAGTGATGTTAGTGCCTCAGAATTGAGGCCCAAAGGTAATATTTTCAATCAGTCCCACGTTGCCTGTAAGCCTGGCCCATTTCAAAACATGTTGGTGCTGAGAAGCCCAAGTCCTTCAGAGATGCAGAAGGATGTGAGTCCCCAGGTCTCCATGGCTCTGTGGACAGCTCTGCCGTATAGTATTTCCCACATGAAGAAAAATTGGGTGTTTTACCCTAGTCCATCATTTTCCATGAATTTTGTGGGCAGTGTTCACATCACATAATTTTGGCACCTAAGGCATGTTTCCAGTGCTGAGACTATCAACAGCAGATGACACCAATCTAAGTGGTGCAATTGGCACACCTCAGGGACAGGATGCCATCCAGAGCGACCTGGACAAGCTTGAGAAGTGTGCATGTGTGAACCTCATGAAGTTCAACAAGGAACCTGCACCTGGATTGGGGCAACCCCTGGTATTATTACAGGCTGGGGGATGAAAGGATTGAGAGCAGCCCTGAGAAAAAGGACTTGGGGGTATTGGTGGATGAAAAACTGAACGTGAGCTGGCAGTGCGCACTGGCAGCCCAGAAAGCCACTGGCACCACCCAGCAGCGTGGCCAGCAGGGCGAGGGGAGGGATTGTGCCCCTCTGGAGCCCTCTGGGGAGACCCCCCTGCAGTGCTGCCTCCAGCTCGGGGGGTCCCACCAGCAGAAGGACACGGAGCTGTTGGAGCGGGGCCAGAGGAGGGCACGGAGATGCTCTGAGGGCTGGAGAACCTCTGCTGGGAGGACAGGCTGGGAGAGTTGGGGGGGTTCAGCCTGGAGAAGAGAAGGCTCCGGGGAGACCTTATAGCAGCCTTTTAGTCCCTAAAGGGACTACAAGAAAGCTGGAGAGGGAATTTTTAGTAGGGCCTGTAGTGACAGGACAAGGGGTGATGGTTTTAAACTAAAAGAAGGGAGATTCAGACTAGATAGAAGGAAGAAATTTTTTACAGTGAGGGTGGTGAGACCCTGGCCCAGGTTGCCCAGAGAGGTGGTTGATGCCCCATCCCTGGAAACATTCCAGGTCAGGTTGGACGGGGCTCCGAGCAACCTGATCTAGTTGAAGATGTCCCTGCTTATTGCAGGGGGGTGTTGGACTAGATGGCCTTTAAAGTTTCCTTTCCAACCCAAACTATTCTACAATTCTATGAAACAACAGATGCGGCAATTCAGGGAACCCACAGGGGTCAGTGCTGTTTAACATCATCGTTGATGACTTGGATGATGGAACAGAGTGCACCCTCAGCAAGTCTGCAAGTGATACAAAACTGGGAGGAGCAGTTGATAGACCAGGGGGTTGTGCTGCCATTCAGAGAGACCTCAACAGGCTGTAGGAGTGATCCCACGGGAATTTCATGAAAGCTCAAGTGTGGCTGATCAAACACTGGCACAGGTTGCTCAGGGAGGTTGTAGAGTCTCCATCCTTGCAGATGCTCAAAACCTGACTGGACGTGGCCCTGAGCAACCTGCTCTGGCTGACCCTAATTTGAGCAGAAGTTTGGACTAAATGATCTCCAGGAGGTGCCTTCCAACCTCAGCCGTTCTGTGATGCAGTAATTCAAAGCAGGGACCTCATCTGGGCACGTGAGAGTAATTTGAAGTATTTCTCTCTTGTGAATGTACGAAAGCCCGAGGGGAGTGGCCTTCTAAGTTAGGCATAGAGGCACAGTTGCTGCATAAAAACAGGCGGTGTGTTACCTTTCACGATCCCTCATGAAAATGATACAAATTAAAATAAATACCTAAAATGTCACTTGAGAATTACTCAGTTCCTCCTCGCTGATGTAAACCCTGGAATTTCTGTCCCTTATGGGAAGAGGTCCGGTCCGCCTCCTTTGACAAGCCTGTCTTTCCCTCTACATTTTCTTTCCTAATGCAAACCCTTGTGTTTCCCATACAGTCAAGGAAGGATGCTTCTGCAAGCCACCAGGCAGACATCTTACCTGCTGAAATTCAAGTGTCAAAGTGGCAACATATTCAGAGGCTTTCATCTGCCTCCCTGCATGGCCTGCCCAGGGCTTTCAGGCTCTTTAGGAGAATGGCTGTGTGGGCACCTAAAATTTAAGTAGAAATTAGATGTACAAGTTAGGCTGGTCCAACAGTGTGAGTACAAAGACATCACTGGCTTTTATAGCCATAATAGCGGAGCCTGTGTGTTGGTTTGGGGGATTTATGCCTTGGACGAACTCATGAATTTAAATCAGTACAAAATCCATCCCATTTTGTGTTACAGTATCTACATGAAAGGAAGTGAACAGAACTTGATTTAATTATGTTCCAGTTGTGTAAGAAAATGCTGAAAAATAAATGGCTAACGGTACGTGTGAGCATTTAAGTTTGAAAATTAATACATTAATAACCCATTTGTCTCTTTATGATTCATTAGTAATACACTATAAATGTTTATGTTACTGTAGCTTCGTGACCCTTTTAGAAAGAGAAACTGAGCAATGCATTGCACCTTTCTGCGGTCTCTTAAATTATCCTGTGAGTAGCTAAGCCGCTCATGTAATGCTGCAGCATGGCGGTGTGAAAAAGGATCAGGCGTCTTTAGAGGATCCGTGTCTTTCTACTTCTGCATGGTGGTTTGAAAGGAAAAATTGGGTATTTGAAACCCACTGAGGGGGAGTTCAGAGACAGCAACTGCTCGGAAGGTCACTGCGTGGCTGGTGCTGGGTGTCGGCACCTTGGAGGTGTGCTAAGGTAAGCATGAGGCTGACCTCTCTTTGTATGATGCTGCGGAAAGAGATTCCTGTGTGTGTCTTGTTACCGCGGCTCTGCCTTACACAACCGATAAACTCTTTCTGGGAAGTCACGCAAAAATTACAGAATACAGTTTTGAGTGTTTTACGCATTTGATTTTGGATAGTTTTGCAATTCTAAAGTGCTAATTTCTGCAAAATTTGCTTCTTTGAGACATCGAAAATGGCTCTGTTGTTTTTTGAAGGTAAATCCAAAAATACAAGATTTCTCTTTTGGGGGAACTGCTCCCACATGAAGCTGGCAATCTCTGTTGGTATGAGGGTGGCAGCTGAGCCACTGGGAGAAGCCAGCTCCCGCTTTTGAAAGTTTTATACCAATTTCATTTTGGACTTTCTCAACATCTCTCATGGGCAGGCTGGGTTTTGCCCTCTCCTGAGCAAATCCAACCTATGGATAGTGACGAGGTTATCTGGCAGAAATGTGGCTGCTGCACAGAATATGCTTTAAGGTGTGGCTGAGTGTATGCTTAGAAAGGTGTTTTAGGGGGATGGAAAGCCGTAAGCCTTTTATATTGTTGAGGTTCACAGCCTTGAGGAATTTGGGAGTGTCTGCTTCCAGAGAGGTCAGCAGGGTTTTAACCCCCTTTAAAATCTCAACTATATGTTTGCAGATTATTTTTATGTGTTTTAGGTGACATTCAGCCCTACTGTAAGACCCCAGGACTGCAGCTGCATAGGGATATTTCATAGCGAAGTTTCAAAATCCGGAGTGCTACCGGCCGAGGTTGTGGCTTCGCAGCACAGCCCTGTGTTCTTGCAAACATTTGGCATTAAGCTGGATTCCAAGAGATTTGTTTAACTTAGATCTTTATTGATCATGAAAAAAAAATTAATACCAAGCTGCTTTTAGATGAATGAAAAGAAGCCCAAACAAAGCTCTTTACGCTGTCCTAAGCTGCACTGCAGCTATTGATCTTCTTCTTCAGCCAGTGCTTGCTGCCCAGCCTCGCGTCCCACTACTCAAGAGCAAGGCATTTCCTATTGATGAATTACTCATTGAAATGATTCAACATAATTAAATAAAATAAAGGCCTGATTAGGGAAGAAGTAAAGTGATCCGTAACCACACAGTGATATGTTTCCTAATGTATTACTGTAGTTAATTTGACCTCCGTCGCAGTGCTGCTTGCTGTTGCCTCCCCACCCTCAGAGTGGGGGAATCCTAGAATGGTTTGGGCGTGAAGGGACCTTTAAAGGCCATCTAGTCCAACCCCCCTGCCATGAGCAGGGACATCTTCAACCGGATCAGGTTGCTCAGAGAAACCCAAAGCAGACCTGGGATTAGCCTGTAGTGAGCCCTTTCCAACAGGAGGAGAGCAAGGAAGGAAAGTGGAGGGGGGCGGTGTGGGGAAGCCCTAAAAGGAGCAGGAGAAGGCATGGAGTGAGGACAAGCCCTCAGCTTGTGGGGGCTCTGCCCAGGCTGTCTGTGTGGAAGGACTGGAGGTGGGAAGGATGAGTAGCTCGATCATTCTTGGTGCCTTTTCCTCCAGAGCACTGCGGTGGTGGTCGCACTAGGCAGGGATTAATTCTGGAACAGTCAGCCTTTGTTGCTGTTTTGGGGTTCACCTCTGGAGTTGTTGAGGTCTCTTAATTTCTGCCTAAAATGCATTTGTTACCCTTCTCCCTTCTGGAGTTGAGAATAGGTATTTGTCTTGTTTGTCTTTATGAAATTCGGGAGTGATAACACAGCATGATGCCTCATGATGTCAACCTGGGGGAGCTCTGAAAAGTCACCTGCTTCTGTAGGTCCTGTACAGCTTTGGGTATCTTTTCACGAGCATTTCTTAATACTTTTATTGGATATCGTTTCAGAGAATATTTTGGTTGGCTCAGTGCTTATTATTCCATTCTGGTTAATCACTTAACCTTGCATTTGATCACTAACAAAACAATTTAGCAAACAACCTAAACGCTTTAGATGATAACAAAATATTACGTCATTATTTGCCTCTTTAGGCAACACGCAGGGTCACTGTGACCTTTCTGGATAAATAGAGCAAGTTGTGTGTATCAGGGGACTTATTTACAGAACGTGGCTAGGGACCTCATGAAACTGTGATCCTGGGGGACAGCCCAGGAGTGCTCTGAAGCAGGAGGAGTGATGGAAAATGTCAACATTTAGAGGATTTGTAGAGTATTTGCAGAGATTTTGGCTGTGGTTGTCCTTTGCCTGCAAGGGTGTTTTAGAGTACTAGTGTGGGCACCTCTAAAACCCTGAGAACACTTGCCCTGCTTACTCAGAGGATGGTAATATGGGTAAATAATAGCCAAGGGGTTGGTCAGCCAGAGAGTAATTATTCCCAGCCAAGCAAATCAATTCTGAGGAGAAGTTGAGCTGAAAAATACATTTGGAAGGAGAGCGGGGACTAACACAGTTCTTCGTCCATTTTAGGTGGGACCCTGAGCGAGGGGTGTTGCACTGAATGTTGGACAGTGTCTTAAACAGCCTAAAAATATCAATAATAACATCAATGTACTAACAGCCATTGATTAGCAAACTCTGGTATTTACTTCTGAGGCCTTGATTAGAATTACTGGGATGGATCTGAGTGAATTCCTGTTGTCCTCTGAGTTCCTATTGATCTGGTTTTTTAATCTTCACTTGGCTCACTGCACGTGGAACAGCTCTCCCAAACAGAGGTCCTTTCTGGGGAAAGAGGTGCTTCTGCTCCCCCTGAGACAGGCATGCTGAGGTCTGTGGAAAACCTCAACAGGCACCCATATGGAGATTTGGGAGCCCATTTTTTGGTTTTCTTTATCACGTGCTGTGCCAGTAGGAAACATCTGCTATTAAAAAATAAGGACAAGTCACCAAAGGTGACAGAAATAAGCTCTGTTGGTGTGCTACAAATCTGTCTTGAGCTGGCTTTGAGCTGCCTGTAAACTAAAGAGGAGTTTCATGTGAGAAGCGTTGCTTGAATGTTGACTTTGCTGGCAAAGGATTTCACTCAGGGAATCGAGAGAAGTAGAGGCGGTTTTATTTAAGTGTACCTACAGAGCCAGATTGCAGGAGCAGTCCTCCAACGGTGGGCTCCTTCTGCTCAGCCAACAGGGCTCCTGTTCTTCTGTCTGCACAAGACACAATGAAGTGAGTTTCCCTATGATGAGAGTTTCTTGGCAGGTATGAGGACCGAATTATATTTTAAACTGAAATAACAAATCTGTGACTGAATGGAGCCAGTAGGGAATGATCGGTACAGCACTTGGAAGGGTAATAATAGCTCAGTGCAGCTCCTGGAAGGCACTGGAGACTTATGAGTGAGTAAATATTTTGTAGCAGCTATTTCTTCTTGAAAATTGTGTGGATGATGGGGGTACTTGTAGACCGTCCGCATTACAAAAGTGGTAAGGGATGGACAGGAGTAGGAATTTGTATTCAGTTGTTTGGTTGTGTTACCATTTGATTCAAACAACTGAAAAGCACTTAGGAAAAAACTAGATTAAACTGGATCCTTTGAGGCGTGTGCAAGAGGAGCTGGCATGCCAGGCGAACTCCTGACACTCGATAGACTCTGTGGCACTGGCAAGAAGGACTGTTGCTGGTGGTGGAATGCACTGAAAAAGGAACAGAAATAAACATTAATTTTTCTTTCAAGCTTCTTTTGTGCATCACAATCAAATAAAAATGAAGAGTAGTCCTAAGATTTTGTATTTTTCCTTTTTCTTTTTTTTTTCTTTTTTAGGCAAAACATCTTTATCAGTATTGAAGTTGACAGCATTGTGGGTTTTTGGCTCACTGACACATTTATCCAGCCTATGCATCCTTCACATTATCCTTTTCATAAGGATATATTCCTTTGTGGCTGTATTATTTATAATTTGTATTGCAGGAGCAGTCTCAGATTGACGTCTTGTTCTGCCATAAACATGGCCCTTGCATCCGAGACCTTCAGTCTGTGTTTTATACCTACTAAGCATCCTTTACAAAGTAGCTATTAATTAGTCCTGACAGTGCCCCAGACAGACAATTTGTAGTGTCTCCTTAATAGCAAAGGGAGAAAGGGAGAGGTTGTTACTGATGAGACACGCAGCAGATGAGTACCAGAGCCAGGGAAGATAACTACAACTTCTGATTGTTATTGTTAAGCCTCATTGTCACAAGCCAGTGTATCGCTAACACACCGAACAGGATTACACTGGATAATTAATCCTTTTTTTTTTTTTTTTTTAAATTAGGTTGACACAATTACAGGTGGGGCGAAAAATGTCAGTCCCTGGAGTGAGGAGCTTACTGTCAACGTCGTATCTCCGCAACGAGACACACTGAGATTCCTCTCCTCCTTTGCTTGCAGGGAGTTAGACTCTGCCATGCTGCGCCGGTTGGAGAAGAGGATTTTGGTTGACCTCCCAAGTAAAGAGGCACGGCGAGTGATGATCCAGCACTGGCTGCCCCCTCGGAGCAACAGTGGAGGAGTGGAGCTGAGAACGGATCTGGACTACAGCTTGCTGGGCCAGGTGAGGCAGCACTGCGGCAGGGACAATGCCCGCTGGGTGCTCGAGGTCCTTCTGGTGGGAACGGTAAAGCAAGAGTGACATACCTCGTGCACAGCGGTGGCAAAGAGGTCCAGAGGGTTGGGACAGCACCTCTGTTACAGATCTGGGAGAAGGACCTCAGTCCAGTTAGAGCCTCCAGCCAAAGGCGGACCAGTGAGACACGGGGCCGAGCGTTTCAGCTGGCTGTGGGAATCACTGGTTTTGCACAGCTCTGCTCGCAAAATGGTGTATTCTGATCCTCTCTGTTGGGCCAATTTTTCAGCCTTAAATACAGGGAGACTTCCAGCAACAGTATATTTTATCACTCTTCTCACCAGGCTGGGAG